CACCAACGTTTACCATCCAACCTGACAGAACTGGAGAGGATCTGCAAGGAGGAATGGCAGAGGATCCCCAAATCCAGGTGTGAAAAACTTGTTGCATCTTTCCCAAAAAGACTCATGGCTGTATTAGATCAAAAGGGTGCTTCTACTAAATACTGAGCAAAGGGTCTGAATACTTAGGACCATGTGATATTTCAGTTTTTCTTTTTTAATACATCTGCAAACATGTCAACGATTCTGTGTTTTTCTGTCAATATGGGGTGCTGTGTGTACATTAATGAGGAAAAAAAATTAACTTAAATGATTTTAGCAAATGGCTGCAATATAACAAACAGTGAAAAATTTAAGGGGGTCTGAATACTTTCCGTACCCACTGTACTTATCTACATGTTTATGGTGTCTTTAAATAGTACAATCAAGTACACTATTACTATGTCATTAGTAGCACTTTTTCCACATTCAAAATATAGCACTTCAAGTACTTTATGCTAAAAGCATGCTTACTGTTCAATTGTAAACACATATGAATGAATAATCCAATCATGTGGTGATAGTGCATTTATAGCAGCCTGAGCACAGTAACCTACAGGGTTTTTTACTGAAGTAATACATTTCTACTGTATTTTTAATGAAAATCCAAATAGAGCTTGGTGATAGTATATATAAAAATCCACTGAAATTGTATGTAAAGCAATCGTAGCACACTTTTAAGCAATGCAATTATAAAACACTTCTGGTATTTTATCTGACTAAACTTTATTTATCACACGAAACGTTTCGGTCCACCGACCTTCATCAGGCAAATGTATAGAATTAAAAACAAGACATAATTATATACTCTCCCAAACTTGCTCAGGAGTTTGTGTCTGTTTTAAACTCTTTTGTGGAGGAACTGGAATTTTCCCTTGAAGTTAGCCCCTCTAAGGTTCATTTTTTGGACATGTGGGTGTGTAAACACGAAGGAAATTTGATAACTACTTTGTATACTAAAGAAACCGATCGTAACACCCCTTTATTAGCAACGAGTTTCCACCCATCCTCCTTAAAAAAGGGTTTACCTAAGAGTCAGCTTTATAGACTACGAAGGATTTGTCATTCAGATTCTGACTTTACTGAAAAGTCGGGGATTATGAAAAATAAATTTTTGGATAGAGGATATCCCACGAAATGGGTTGATGATGCTTTTGACACAGCACCTCAAAAACCGCGTACAGTGTTGTTAAATAAAAGGACAAAACGTAAAAATAAAAAAAAACAATCGTTTACTTTTATTACTGCTTATTCATCTTACAAGATTATAAATATTTTTAAGAAACTTTGGCATTTGCTGTCTTCGGATCCTGAGTTGAGTCGCCTTTTCCAACATCCACCGATGATTGTATATAAACGTTCCAGAAATTTGAGGGATTTTTTGGTGCATGCTGTTAGTCCTGTGTCTTGTGTTTTGTTCCCCACGTGCTTTCCATGACCCAGTTTTCTCTCATGTGCAATTATGTTTATTGCTCCCAGGTGTTTCTCGTCATCCCCTTGTCATGTCTTGTGTATTTAAAGTGTTTCCTGTTCTTAGTTTTTCGTCCGGTATTGAATGTCGTCTTTCCCCGCTCTGTGTGATTTCCTGGTTCCTCGAATATTATTAAAGTCAACTCCTCGTTCCTCGCTCCGTGCTCCTCACAGTAGCGGAGCGTGACAGAATACTGGACCAAAGCAAACAGTAAGCGGCACCCCTTCTCCCCGTGTTTTTGTTTTCGTGTTGAAAGATTTTGTTTTCCTTTTTTTCCCCCTGCGATTATGGAAATCGCCGCTCGATTCATTGCCCTAGCCCGTAGTGATCTCCCCTTCGTCGAGTATGCCTGGGAGTTCTGCGGGCTTGCCGCGGCGACGGCTTTAGATGACGCCACCATCAACTCTCTGTTCTAGCACGGGGCCAATTACCATTGCCCCGTGGACCTCCCAGACACCACGGGACTAAGCTGGAGGGAAGGGATCCTCCGGTGTCTGGAGAGCGTCCGGCCCTGAGCCAGACCAGCCCGCCGTCAAGTCCGCCGGCCGCAGCATTCTCAAGCCCGCCGGCCGCTCCTCAGTCAAGCCCACCGGCCATTCCAAAGTCAGGCCCGCCGGCCGCTCCGAAGTCAAGCCCACCGGTCAGTTCACTCTCAAGTCCTCATCTAACAGCTGCACAATCCTTAACCCCAAATCAAGGAAGGAATTTAAGGAGGAAGGCGCGCTAGCCCGTAGAGATCTCCCCTTCGTCGAGTATGCCAGGGAGTTCTGCGGGCTCGCCGCGGCGACGGCTTTGGATGACGCCACCATCAACTCTTTGTTCTGGCACGGGGCCAATTACCATTGCCCCGTGGACCTCCCAGACACCACGGGACTAAGCTGGAGGGAAGGGATCCTCCGGTGTCTGGAGAGCGTCCGGCCCTGAGCCAGACCAGCCCGCCGTCAAGTCCGCCGGCCGCAGCATTCTCAAGCCCGCCGGCCGCTCCTCAGTCAAGCCCACCGGCCATTCCAAAGTCAGGCCCGCCGGCCGCTCCGAAGTCAAGCCCACCGGTCAGTTCACTCTCAAGTCCTCATCTAACAGCTGCACAATCCTTAACCCCAAATCAAGGAAGGAATTTAAGGAGGAAGCGACTGTTGGCTCGAGCCCCTGAGTCCGCTCCAGTGTCGGCTCCAGCCTCCGAGTCTAGCCCAGAGTGGGCTCCAGTCCCCGAGTCTAGCCCAGAGTGGGCTCCAGTCCCCGAGTCTAGCCCAGAGTGGGCTCCAGTCCCCGAGTCTAGCCCAGGGAGGGCTCCAGTCCCCGAGTCTAGCCCAGGGAGGGCTCCAGTCCCCGAGTCTAGCCCAGGGAGGGCCCCAGTCCCCGAGTCTAGCCCAGGGAGGGCTCCAGTCCCCGAGTCTAGCCCAGGGAGGGCCCCAGTCCCCGAGTCTAGCCCAGGGAGGGCCCCAGTCCCCGAGTCTATCCTTAGGGGTTGATATTTCCCCCAAGTATTTTTCAGGGGGGATGTTATAAGGCTCTGGCTGTAGAGGCCGGGCTGAGTGCCGAGGCCAAGGCCATGGAGGCCGCTCCGCCATGGCTCTCCGAGCTGTCTGATCCGCCATGGTTTCCCAGTCTGCCTGCTCCGCCATGGCACCCGAAACGGGTTCCGCTCTGCCTGCCGTCCAGTGTAAGCCAGTCCTGAGGGGCCTCCAGAGTGCACACCCCCCCTCACCATTGGATGCTGTGTGGTGCGTGAATGTCGTCTTTCCCCTCTACGTGTGATTTCCTGGTTCCTCAAATATTATTAAAGTCTCTGTGTTTGAAGTCAACTCCTCGTCTCCTCGTTCCTCGCTCCATGCTCCTCACAGTAGTGGAGCGTGACACACGCCTGCTTTCAAAGAGCCGCTCCTCCTATATCCCAAACCTTATTGAGTCCTATACAGAAGGGAAATTGTCATTGTGGCAATTGTGCACAGTGTAACAATACATTTAAAACGTCTGGAATCTTCAGCAAACTGTGCACTCTGAACTTGCTTTTATACATGTGGTCACAGCATTAGCAACAAGTGTCTTCAATTTTGAGTCGTTGTGTGTAATGAATGACGCCAGGTGTGTTCATTGTGTTCAAATATTGCTGACTGTGGCAAGCATTTTGCATCACATGAGCTTTCATTTGAGAATATGAGCAGAGTTCTTTTGCAACTTGTGTTTTAGCAAAGAAAAATGTGTTAAGATTTATGAGAACGGAGGATTGTGTTTTGTGAATTGTGTCTTCATGTGAAATGTGTTTATGATATTGGAAAATGATGGCTAGATTTAGTAAATGTGTTTAGACAACTGGTCATTTGGTTTAGAGGATTGGCTTTTGTGTTTTAGCATTTGAGAAAAACTGTAAGACGAGGACTGTTCTAAAGTGTGTTTGCTGTATATCTAAGTGTCAGTTTGATTAAAAACAAGGGGATGATATTAAAACCTTGTTAAGATGTGCGGTTTCTGATAACTAATTGTGATTTTATAAACATAATTATTTTTGTATGTGAATAATGATATATTTTTCATTGGGGATGTTGTAAAGTGTCTTCTATTGTATACTTGAGCCATTGTTATCGATTGCGTATGTGTTTGTGATTAGTCCACATATGATTGTCAATTGCACTCATTGTTTGGGAGAGTATATAATTATGGCTTGTTTTTAATTCTATATATTTGCCTGATGGAGGTTGGTGTACCGAAACGTTGCGTGTGATAAATAAAGTTTAAGAATTAGCAAGTATTGATAGTGTGCGGGTTCGTTACTTATTTTTGATTCAACTGTTTGTTTGATTTTGTTCCCATGCACCTATCGTCGTTTCAGGTGTGCTGAGTTTACATTGATTATGTGACTAAACTTAAAATCAGTTTTTTTAAAAAGTGTTTGTGCTAGTTAGTGTATTTATATTAAGCTGTCCATTGGACAGAAGGTTCTTAAAAGTGAGATAAGTATTGTGAACAACATTTTATTAATCTGAAGAACAGTCTCCTGAGAGTTTCTTTCCTGAAAGGAAACAAAGTGGTTCCTCGACAGCATCACTGCGGAATAATTAATAAAACCAATAACACAAACATTTCATTAATACAACAATAATGTTTTCTTTATTGTAGTTCAAAATTGTATTTATAACCAACTGTGTGGTACATACAACAACAAAAAATAAGAGAAGCTATAAGTCATGCAGGTCAAGAGATCAAGGTCACTGAAATGAAACTGCAGTAGCATAACAAGTATCCATTACTTAGTGATTCTGTTTTTGTTATTAGTCTGTTCTCAGAAGCACTTTATTTTACAGCACTTTTCTGCATGTACATACTGTATACTTACTCTAATAATAATTATAGGTACTAACTTCTGGTAAGTACACGGTAAGTGTGTGCACAAATTATAAAATAAAGTGTTAAAGTGTTTCTTTTTATTAAGTAAATTTCATTTTTAAATTTTACAATCACAAATGGATGGACAAAAAGTTTTCAATAAATTCTGCAAGAACGCAAGTTATTAATTTGGTGTTTAGCTGAGGCCTGGAGTTATTTGACATGTATTACCCTGAGTAAATCACTGCTGTGTGCTGACCGTCAAAACTGCCCACGGTTATATCACAGAATAAGTGTGTGTGTGTGTCTGTGTGTGTGTGTGTGTGCAGCAAAACCTTCTCTGGTTTGGTGTACAACAATGATTTACTTGAACAGTATAAATTAAAAAAAATAAAATAAAATGCTAAAAAAAGAACATGTACAAAAAGTAAAAAAGAGACAATCTTCTCAAAAACATGGAAATGTTTAAAAATAATAAACCAACAGATTTAACAGACAGATGCCTCTCGGCACGTATTGCTGCTGAGGTTGCTTTTCCTGTGAAATGTGTTTGTGTCGTACTGAAATGAGTCGAATACTTGCTTTGGAAGCTGTTGGTTGTGCCACTGGTTAAGATTCCACACAAATCAATAATTCATCTGTCAATAATCATATTGTCAAGGCACTTATAATGCTAGTTGATATTAGAGATATAAAACTAAAGAAACAACATGGGATAGGTATGACGTATGAGCACTTGGTGGCCATCGTTTACAGCGATTCCCTTCTCTGATCCGCTGATATTTCCAGAATCATGTTAATTGAGGTAGATCACGGGACCAGATTAACACTCCTATGGATCAATCTGTGAGAGAACAGCGGGACGTTTACATCACCTCCAGACACTGTGAAAACACTGTTTCATGTGACTAGGAATCAGAGGACATTCACATTCAGTCGCTGAATTAAAGCAAAGGACTTTGCATATGTGCTTTTTCAGTCAAGGCCTCAGTGGCAGTAAATGTGAGCGTGGCTATTAAAGCTGAGCTCACAATAGCAGCTCGATCTAACCAACAGAAACCACAGATTCTTAAAACATCGTTAAAAAAATAGTATTTCAAAGAGCAACTATCCCAGTTCATGTCAAACACTGAGATCTGCTCTGGTTAGGCAAAAACACATGGAAATCATCCTGTAAACGTTCCACAGCAGTGTTCCTCGATCATAAAACACGACACTCAATACAAAGCACTGGGACGGCATCATAAACATCTGCTTGCGTCATCATGTCTATCTGCTCTGTGCATTAAAGCCGTTTCCTCAACTGTTATTTCTCAGTGAAAATAAACATCTTTGATAATTGCATATAAAAACACTGTCGCCATGCAGCAACGATTCCTCTAATAAACACTCACGGCTGAAGTGAGCATTCACAAAAACGTCTTTCGAATCTTCCAAGCTCAGGAGGAAATGATTACATATGGCACAGCTGTCGTTCCCTTTAACACAATATATGAGCGACTTCATATAGTCTGACATAAAACAATGCATAGCTAGATTATAAGAGTAAAGGAAACGCGGGTTAAAATAAAATCCCTTGATTCTTCTCTCAGGGCTACACCCGTCGAAGCACCAGCAAACACCTTCCCTTCTTAACCGACGATTGTCTTACTTTCACTTCCCTTTTAAAGCCCAGAAGCTCAGTACAAAAATATTCAAGGAAACTTTCTGAGAGATGCATAGCTCATAAATCACATAGGTGGAGAAAGCCCTGTTTTATGCCCGGTCTGCATGTTCCTGCAGGGATAGAAAATCACATCAGGACTCTCCACACACACACACACACACACACACACACACACACACGTCTGTCTGTCCGCTGTAAACGCTCTCAGATGACGGACTCGGGCTCTTCGGGCTTCACCTCGACCTGCGCACCGCTCTTGCTCTCCAGCATCTTCTCGGTGGCTTCGGTCGCCGGCTGCGCCTCCTTGCTCCTTCTCCGCGCCTCTACCCACGGGATCAGGCACAGCATGGCCCCGCCGATGATCGGAGGAATGCCTGCCAGGTAAAACGCCACGTCATAGCTGCCCAGACGGTCTCTGAGGAACCCTGCGCACAAAACCAGACAGACGACCGGCTCAGCTACGCCAGATTTAAGGCCATTGCACACTGAGTCCGAAATTCTCGCCCGAAATTTTCACACGTTAAAGGGGTCATTGGATGCCCATTTTCCACAAGTTGATATGATTCTTTAGGGTCTTAATGAAAAGTCTGTAACATAGCTTAAAATTTCTCAATGGTAGTGTAAAAAAACACAGTTTTTACCCTGTCAAAAACAGCTCTTTCACAGCAAGCTGTTTTATTGCATGCCGCTTTAAATGTTAATGAGCTCTGCTGACCCCGCCCCTCTCTTCCGAGCCACTCTCTGAGAGACTCTTGGCTTCAGCTGCGTTCATCGTGAAACTTGCTAACTAGCACATTATTAGGAAAGGTGATTTGCAGAGATTCATTAAAAACTTATACTCACTACTTCTGGAGGTGAAGCTGGATCACGAATGATTCGTGCGAACATACACACATTTATGTAGATCGGGGGCACAATCCTTTCAGAAACAAAAGTAATCCACTGCGTCTTCAGCGGCTCAGATGTCGGGAGTAAATGACGACTGCTATGTTCATTATTACATCCAACAACAGAACACCTCAATCGCTTAGGAGTCATTCTTGTCTACATCTGCTCCGGCGGTGAAACAATGGCGGACTGATGACAGTCACTCAGGTTGGAGCTATGGTAAGACACCAGTCCAGTCTGTGCTGAAACACTACTGTCAATCAAACTATCGTGGGAGGGGCCTGTCTGTGTGACGTCACACACACAGGCATCTGAGAACAGCTTGATCTGAGAAAGGGGTACGAGATAAAAAAAAAAAACACTGGGTGGATCTTTATCATTATAGGATGGTTGTGAACACACACTGCCAACACACATTTCAGTTGAAACAACTTGTAAAAGTGCATGTCGCATCCCATGACCCCTTTAAAAAATAAATACGACCTCACATTATGTCAATCACTTTTACACACTGCCTCCAAAAATGTTCGTCCGTAATAAAAAAAATTCGGATCGGGTTCGATTTTTTGCGTTTTTCGCATCCGTAGCAAGCATTTTGAGAGGTGTTTTGAAAATTCAGAGCCACCGTACAAGCGAACGCCGAAATCCAGAATGGCAAGTTGATCCACTTTGTCTCGCAGCACAAAGCACTGTATGATAAACAAAGTGTGGAATAGACAGAATATAAATAGAAATATATAAATATAAACTTTGAATCGCTCTGTATAATCCCGCAGCTCCTTGATAAGGAGATGGAACTCTCCTTTCTCTCTACACAATCTCTGGATTGGATGGACCCAATATTTCCTCTTTAAAAGAGAAAAAGAAAGAGGAAATATTGGGTCCATCCAAGATAGAGGACAACAAAATCATCCACGCAATTTTTTCGCAACGGATTAATTAATATGCATTGGACTGTGCAAGGTTTCTGTGCATGACAATTTTTTTGACGAATACGAAAAAACGCATACAAAAATTTTGGACTCAGTGTGCAAAGACCTTTACACTGAAAGACGCTTCTGAAGCTGCATTTAGGAGTCTTTACACAGACGCTGTAATGCTGCTCAGAGGTGGCATGAATGCATTTACACTGCAATTACAGCTGTGTGTTTGATACTACCCAGCAGGCACAGACGTCAATATAACGTCAGGATGACGCTGGACATGATGTCAGACAGACGATGCTTTTTGGTTGAGAATGAAAATCGGGTTGACGTCAGTATTTGACGCCAATTTGACATTGACTTAACGTTGGATTTTGGTTACACAACCTAAAAACAACAAATATCAACATCAACTGACGTCGATATTGGACATCAATTTAACATTGACATTAGATGTGGAATTGACATTGAATTTTGGTCACCTGATGTCACAACCAAAGTTTAACCAAATATCAACGTCTTATGGCATTGTGTGCCAGCTGGGTAGTGGCTGAGGTGGCTCTAAGCTGGCATAACTTAGTCCAGCTTTTATGCGGCATTGCATCTTTACATCGAATGTTGAGCAGGCACAGAGCAGCTTTAACTGAGTTACATTACGATGTTGTAAATTAACTAATGAAAAATTTACAATGAAAAGTGGCACAGAATTCCCACATTCAGGTGTCTTTTACATTTGAAACTGTTCAGAAGTGGCATAAACGCATGTACACAGCAATTGCAACTGTATACCTTAATACTAGGATCTGAGATGATACTATTTAGTTTGGCTATTATGCTGCATTATGTCTTTACACTGAATTTTGATCAGGCACAGAGCCGCATTAATTTGGCTGTAAAGATGCCCTGAATAATTGAGTCGTGTGTCTGTTTCACACTGAAGTGTAGTTCAACTTTCACCTAACTTTATTAGTGCCCAAGTACTAACTTTTAGAACTTCAATTTACAGTAAAAAGAAAAAAATTCAAAATTCAAATTTGAATTGAATCAATAATTCATCTGTCAATAATCATATTGACAATTGCCCTCCCAAATTGTTAGTAATGGAATCCCTGATGTCGGCCTGATGCAATTTGAGCGCTTAGCCAAGCACTAAATACCCTCAACGTGTTTTTGCAGCGTTGAGCAATGTAACCAATCACAGATATCTGTTGATTTCTTAAACGCAATGGCCAATCAGAAACATTTTGTCAGAATTCACTCACCGCTGAAAGCGCCGCAGTTTGGCACGCTCGTGAATCATCTCATGACTAAGTGCAGACGCGATGTAAATAAGAGATTTATTGTGCAGTTTAGAGAGCTTCATTGATTATAACAGAACTTTGCAAGATCGCGATGAATGAAGATGAGTGACGCTTTTTAGTGATAAAGGGCGCTTTTTGATTGCCCCCCCAAATTGTTAGCCATGGAGTCCCTGATGTCGGCCCCGCTGCAATTTCAAGCGCTTAGCCAAGCGCTAAATACCCTCAATGTGTTTTTGCAGCGTTGAGCAATGTAACCAATCACAGACATATCTGTTGATTTCTTAAACGCAATGGCCAATCAGAAACATTTTGTCAGAATTCACTCACCGCTGAAAGCGCCGCAGTTTGGCACGCTCGTGAATCATCTCATGACTAAGTGCAGACGCGATGTAAATAAGAGATTTATTGTGCAGTTTAGAGAGCTTCATTGATTATAACAGAACTTTGCAAGATCGCGATGAATGAAGATGAGTGACGCTTTTTAGTGATAAAGGGCGCTTTTTGCACTTTCTAGGGCAGTGGTTCTCAAACTGGGGTACCCCTGGGGGTACGTGAGGTGACGGAGGTTGTACGCGAACAAAATTCTGAGTTTTGGCATTCATTTAATTCTACCCCAACTGAAAAGTAACATTAAAACCGAACGTGTATTTCTGACAAGCAAAATGCCGCTTCTAATGTAAAAACAGGAAAATGGGAGTTCCGTAAATGGTCAAATACATGATATCCAATCAGCTTAGCTCATCTTTTGCAGTCAAAACCAGAGCATGTGAGCGGAGCGGGGAGGGATCTGAGCGGGAATTGGTTTACGGCGAGCGTGAGCGGAATATTAACGGAGCGCTTGCTTGGGCGGTTAGAGCGACTGAGTGGAGCGCACGTCCATAGAGCGGAAAACGTAGCTTCGCTCACATGCTCTGGTCAAAACTGACTGCATCCACACAAGCAGCATGTGCTAGGATGCCCGCTGAATATGCTGCTTTAGCAAATCACGCTACTGTTCAGCGTATCTTTAAAGTAGATCTTCACTTAATAGCATGAAGAGCAAATATTGACTCGCACTGTAGCCTACATTGAGATCGATTTAAACTCTCTTCGATACAGACACATACCCTGTGCGAGTTATTGTTTTCATGTTTAAAATACGAGCAAGAATGCCAATTTCCCTGAATATCCAAACAAGTTCAAGTTGAGCTTTATTGTCATTCTGCTGCATGTGGGGACATACAGTGGAACGAAATGTCGTGCCTCACAGGACCACGGTGT